CTTACCTTTTATGCTCATATTATTGCCTTTTCTCTACTGTTAAAGTGGTTGGAAAGGCTGAAGGTTTTTTACCTTCATGCATTCAATTCATGAAGGTAAAAAACCTCTGTACAACAGCCCCCCCCCCCCCAATACTCACCTAAGCCCCCTCTTGATCCAGCGATGTGCACTGGAGTCTCGGCTGTCCCGGGACTCCCTTTTCTCATTGGCTGAGAAAAGCGGGAGCCATTGGCTCCCACTGCTGTCAATCACAGACAGTGAGCCAATGAGAAGAGAGATGGGGGTGAGACCAAGTCATAGCTCCATGTGTGAATGGACACATGGAGCAGCAGGTGCCCCCATAGCAAGCTGCTTTCTTTGGAGGCACCAGACAGGAGGGAGGGGCCAGGAAATCCTGCGGGGGGACCCAAGAAGAGGAGGATCCGGGCTGCTCTGTGCAAATCCACTGCACACAGCAGGTAAGTAACATGTTTGTTATTTTTTCTTAAAAATAAATAAGCATTTATAATCACTTTATGTTTGAAACACACTTAGCCGTTGTTCACACTGATGGGGTGCGGAATTTGCAGCATTTTCAGTGCAAATTCTGCACCGCATCAGAATCACACCCCGTTCATGCGAACCGATGCAGGTGTGTATGTTAAGTTAACAACACCCCAAAATCGGTCCGCAAATTGCAATGCAGTGTGAAGAATAGGATTGCATAGGTGTGAATACCCATGCGATCCAATTCTAGTGTGGACCCAAGAAAGGGTCCTGCATGTTTTTGGTACGGGTGCGGTGCGAATAGAGCCATACAAAATGTATGGCACCGATCGCACCGCACACAAATCGCATGTGATTTGCATAGGAATGCGGTGTGGTTCGTGTGCGAATCAAATGCGATATACGGAGCCGCACGTATGTGAACCCAGGCTAAAGCTGGCTGACCTACATATCATATATAACAGATTCCTCCATCCACCAATTATGACAGATTCCACCATCCACAGTTCCACACAAATGAGGTGGGTGGAGGAATCTCCCTGTCAGAACATTATATTCTGACAACAGCACCCACAGCTGTCACAATACACTGATCAGTGATGCAGCTGATTCCAATAGCTGCAGATCAAGAAAAATTTTCCAACGTGTCCCTTCAGCAGAAGTTGATCAAACAATCACTTCTGTCAGACGGGGACAGCAACAATCTGATTGAAATTTACCCAGCCCCGGCTGAATCTTGATGTACAGTTTAGTAGTCCCAATTGCATAGTATTGATCAATTTAGAACACGGCCACTTGTTATTGAGTAACAGATCAATGTTTATAGTTTTTGTTTGTATTTTGTAATTTTGTTTCTTATGAGGAGGGGGAGTTCTAAAGCCTACAAAACAGGATTTTTTGTATTTTGTATTGTGAAATAAAATGCTTGCTAGTCTAAGGCCCCTTTAACACGGGTGGACTGCGCCAAGTGGATCTGCCTGCTCAGCCAAGGTTCTGTTTGAGCTGACGAATTACAGGTCTGTGTCCACTCCGCTTGTGCTGAGCAGACATGGGCACAGCCTGCTGTTCTCCATGGGGCAGTTGGATGTAAACGGACCGCCTGTCCATTTAAATCTGACTGTCATCCGACTGGATGCAGAGGGGTGTAATCAGCCTCACCATAGAGAACAATGGATGGTCCGATCGGGTCCTTCTGAAACATGGACAGGAGGACCAGATCGGTCTGCCCATGTGAAAGGGGTCTTACTCACGCTTAGTGGTACCCTCATCCTTCTAATGTTATATAGACTGCTCACAGGGTCCCTTTGGGATACCCTGATTGACAGAGACTTGCCTCTAGAAATTGAAGTCTGGCTTCTGCTTTTTAGGCTAGGTTCACATCTGTGCGGGTGGTGCCGCTGCGGATCCGCACAAAAATCCATGCAGCCGCACCACCCGCACAGAGAAATGCAGACCCACGGGCAGGTGCCATTAGTTCTAATGGCATGCTGCCCGCACTGGAAAACGCAACCGTACTGGGAACCGAGGTTCCCGTGTGGGCTGCATTTTCAGAAGAAGTGCAGGGACTTCTTCCCTGTGTGTCACGGGGCACGGGAATCCATTCAAATGAATTGGCTCTCATGCCTGCGCAAAACACGGCCTGCACGGCTGCATATATGTGAACCCGGGGTAACATGGGGTACTGTAAGGCTAGGTTCACACCTATACAGTTTGTGTTTGATCCATTTCTGAAGTATGTTTTGTGGTGCGTTTTACATTTTTGCACGTGTGTGTTTGACATGTTTTTGTTGCATTTTTGCAACATAAAAAACAAACACATAAAAAAATCCATCAAAAATGCACTACATGCTTTTCTACAGCATCTCCATTGAAGTCTATAGAACCAAAAACGGAACATTTTGCTTTAAAAAATCCCTGACCTTTTCCAAAAAACGCACGTGGAGATGTGAATCCGTCCCATAGGAATCATGTTAAGTGAACTGCTGTGAGTTTCTACAAAACACAGAACACTGTGAAAAACATATAGGTGTGAATCTAGACCAAAGCTAGGTTCACACCTATGCAGTTTGTATTTGATCCGTTTCCGCAGTGCGTTTTGAGGTGCATTTTGTGTTTTTTGCACATGCGTTGTGTATGCTTTTTTTTATGCATTTTGCCTTTTTTTGTTTTTTTTTTTTTCTTGTTGCAGATTTAAAACTCAAAATGCAAAACATCAAAAACGCAACAAAAATGCACTACATGCTTTTCTGCAGCATTTCCATTGAAGTCTATAGAACCAAAAATGCAACTTTTTGCATTTAAAAATGTCCCTGACCCTTTCCAAAAAATGTACCAGGTGAAAACGCAGAGATGTGAACCTGTCCAATAGGAAATCATGTTAAATGGACTGCTGTGCATTTCTTCAAAATGCAAAATGCTGTGGAAAACACTTAGGTGTGAACTTAGACTAAGTGTTGCATTGTGGTGCCCATTCATTTTAAACACCATTTAGAATGCCATCCCAATGCACACATACAATATCTGTCACATACAGTGCCATATGTCATGTGTTATGTACGGCTTCGCAGAATGGACTTTTTTTTGTGCATTGAGATACTGTTCTGTTTCAAATGGCGCTTTATGCATTGACATACCACTTAGACCAAGTCTGGAAATCTGGAAAATATGGTCACCTGCTGACTTGGCAACATTTACAGGCAGCTTAGCTCTTCAATAAGACACAAAAGTTGAATCCAATGCAATTTTACTTCACTTAATTGCAGTACAGAGGGTGGTTTTCCAGTCTTAAAGTGTACCAAGACAATGGCTTTCCTAAAGTGGTTCTAAAGTCAAAAGGATTTTTTTGCCTTAATGCATTCTCTGCATTAAGGTAAAAAACCTTTCAATAGCAGCTCTCCCCATCCCCTCCTTGAGTCCTCATGCACACGGGGCGTTGATAACGCTGGTAACGTTAGCTGTGTAAAGTCATGTTAAAAACGTGAGTTTTTCAGCTTTTTTTTTAGCGTTTCTGCATTAGCGTTTAGCGGCGTTTTCCAACATTTGATGTTTTTAGCGTTTTTTTTTTTGTTCAATAAATGTCCAAAAATACCGGTTTGTGGCATTTTGCCACGTTTTCAGCATTAGAGCATTTTTACAGTTAAAAAACTCCTCTAGAAACCCACTAGACAGGGGTGGACTGACCATTCGAGAACTCGGCGCTGCCCGAGGGCCCGGGGTCAGTAGGGGGCCCCATGAAATACCCCTGGTACCTTTTTATAGGCTTTTATTGAGTGTGGGCAAGGACCCATGATCCCCTATTGCCCAGGGGCCCCATGAGTTGTCAGTCCGCCCCTGCCACTAGACCTGATTTTTTTCTTCCAGCCAAAAAACATCCCTGCCAAAAAACGTTGATTCCAGTCTGTGTGTATGGACACATAAGATAACATGCTGGGGGGTTTACTAGCTGTAGAAAAAACATCAAAAGCCAAAAACAGCAACTGCAAAAACTTCCAGTGTGCATGGGGACTTAGGCTAGGTTCACATCTGTGCGGGTGTTGCCGCTGCAGATCCGCCCGAAAATTCGTCCAGCCGCACCACCCGCACAGAGGAATGCGGACCCATGGGCGGGTGCCATTTTTTTCTAATGGCACGCTGCCCACACTGGAAAACGCAACCATACTGGGAACCGAGGTTCCCGTGCGCTGTGTTTTCAGAAGCAGTGCAGGGACTTCTTCCCTGCGTGTCTCGGGGCACAGGAGTCCATTCAAATGAATGGGCTCTCGTGCCCACGCAAAATGCGGCCCGCACGGCCGCATATATGTGACCAAAGGGTAAAAAAGGTTCTTCAGCCCCGATTCCAACAACTAAAAGTCAGCAGCTACAAAATCTGTAGCTGTTAACTTTTAATCAACAGAAACTCACTTGTCCAGGGATCCAGCATCATCTTTACGTTAACTGTGGGAAGCTGGCTGGCTTCCCACTGCGCATGCGCAGTCAATGGTCCCGCAACCTCCTGGGATCTGTGACGTGTCCGAGAAGGTTGCGGGCTGGAGACCAAACTTTCATTCAGTTCACCTAGGCCAATCTAGTGGGAGTGGGAGTTGGTACCTGTTAAAACTAGTTTCCCAGCTCCCTCCCCCAACAAAAATAATGCGCCAAAGGATTAAAGGATGAGTGGGAGGAGGAACTACTTGCCCTCCAGAGGATTTACCCCCCTTCCTGACCAGACCATTTTTTGTGATGCGTCGCTGTGTTATTTTAACTGACAATTGCGCTGTCATGCAACGCTGCACCCAAATTAAATTTACAACCTTTTTTCTCCACAAATAGAGCTTTCTTTTGGTGATATTTGATCGCCTGTGCGGTTTTTTATTTTTTGCGCTATAAACAAAAAAATTAGCCACTTTTGAGAAAAAAACTATATTTTTAACTTTTTGCTATTAAACATGTCCATAAAAAAAAAAAAATAAAAATATATATTTTCATCATAAATTTAGGCCAAAATGTATTCTGCTACATGTCTTTGCTAAAAAAAAAAAAATCCCAATACGTGTAAATTAATTGGTTTACCTGAAAGTTATAGCGTTTACAAGTGGCGGTATATATACTGGAATTTTATTTTTTTTTACTAGTAATGGCGGCGATCAGCGACTTATAGCGGGACTGCAGCGGTGCATTCTGACACTGGGGGGGTACTGATTTGGTGTCACTGACATCCCCAGTGACACCAATACAGTGATCAGTGCTAATAAAAAGCACACTGTACTAATGGCACTAGGCAGGAAGGGGTTAACATGGGGTGATCAAAGGGTTAACTGTGTGCTGTTTTACTACGTGGGCTGTGTGTGTTTCACTGTAAGCACACTGCTTTTTATGGCTCTGCTATCAATAAAACGCATAAAAAATATAAGAAAGCAGGGGAGTGAAAGCCAATCGAGTCTGTCCTAATGCAATATGCCTAAACATAAGAAAATGCTAAATCTGAAAATAAGGCCTCGTTCATACGGGGTGTGTCAATGTCAGAGGCGTCCCTAGGGTTGGTGTCACCCGGTGTGGTAACACTTGGTGACACCCCCTCCGACGATCCCTGCAGAATGGATCGGATCTGCAGATTGAACATAATGGATCGGACTCCGATCCATTATGCTCAGTCCGCAGATCCGATCCAACCTGTGGGGATCGTCGGTTTTCTTTACAACTTATCTTTTCTTGGAACGGTCCGGGACAACTGCGCATGTCCGGTTTCAGGCACGATCATTCAATGATAGCAGTAGTTCTATCATCGATTGATCGTTCGTGAAGCCGGGAAATGCGCAGTTGCTTCAGGGGGACATATCTACATGGAAGACACATCTTGCCGATACACCGGCGTCATCCCGCAGGATCATCCGCATGCATCCTATACGGGGTGACACCGGACCCTCTTCAAGAAAAGGTAAGTTGTAAAGAAAGCCGACGATCCCCACAGGATGGTTCGGATCCATCCTGCCGGGATTGTCGACTTGCTTTACAACTTACCTTTTTGTGGAGCGGGTCTGGTGTCACCCCGCACTCCCCACACCTGTCTTGGGACGCCACTGATCAATGTGTACTCCATGTGTGAGTGCCACGTTTACCTGCATGGGGGATGTACAGGTACACGCAGTCCCATTGATGTCAATTTATCCAGTGATTACAGTATCAATAGGCTTGTATAAAAAATATCAAACATTTATGCAAACCTAATCTCCACATACTGTATATTGATTTAACTTCTATTTGAAAGCAGTTTCCACTAATGATGAATTTAAAAAAAAAATAAAAGGATTACATACTTTAGGTTTTTTTTTTTTTGCTTTAAATTATTCTCCACACAACCAATAAATGTATAACATAACATTTTAGATTTAACTTACACTTACGATTTCCCCCATGAACTAAAATGGGGAGTGTATTCATGCAAAAGCTAAACTAAAGCTCTTCAGTGCTAATGCTAGAATCTTACAAGAACATTTACATCAGTTTATATGATTTCTCTGTGAAATGACCACATGTTCGGTAATAATGTCAGTACTTGGAGGAATGGTGATGACAGTGAGGCATTGGGTCTTGTGGGGTTTCTTTCAGCATGGATTTCTTGGATGGTGACGGTCAGTATATGTGTCTGGAATCAAAACACAGGCATGTCATTGATCGCTTTAGAAGTAATCAATGAATATTATTTGATGCAAAATAATGAAATGAAGGGATAAGCACTGAACTTAAAGTGGAACTCTACCCAAAAGGAAAAGTTCCGCTTTAAGGCTTTGTCGCCCGCTCCCCATTAAGGATTGGCACCTTGGAGAGGGGAGGGGAGCGGGTACCCGAATTTTGACAGGTACCCGCTCCCACTTCCGCTGCGATTGCCTGAGGTGATCGGAAGCAGAAGTTGTCCTCCCCCCTTCCCTCCCCGTAGTCATCTGGGACAGGTCCCAGAAGACTACGGGGCCATTCACAAAGTGCACGCATGCGCAGTGGGCACCCGGATGTAAAGCACAAGCTGTCCCTCTTGGCTTAGAGAACCCACCAGGGTCATTATTTGTATCATGTCACTGTGTGTGTACTGGCTTCCTGCAGGTTTTCTCATTTCCTTACATATCCCAAAAACACACTGGTAAGTTAACCGCTGGACCGCTAGAGGATTTGCCCCCCCCTTCCTGACCAGGCCATTTTCTGAGATACGGTGCTGCAATACTTTAACTGACAATTGTGCGGTCGTGCAACGCTGCCCCCAAATGAAATTTATCTCCTTTTCTCCCATAAATGGAGATTTCTTTCGGTGGTATTTGATCACCTCTGTGTGTTTTATTTTTAGCACTTTAAACAAAAAAAGCCCGGAAATTTAAAAAAAACAAACAATATTTTTGACTTTTTGCTATTAAACATGTCCATTAAAATTTTTTTTAAAAAATCAAATTTCATCATAAATTTAGGCCAAAATGTATTCTGCTACATGTCTTTGCTAAAAAAACATTCCAATACATATAAATTCATTGGTTTACGTGAAAGTTATAGCGTCTACAAATGGCAGTATATGTACTGGAATTTTTTAAAAATTTTTTTTACTAGTAATGGCAGCGATCAGCGACTTATAGCGGGATTGTGGCGGGCATTCTGACACTGGGGGGGAACTGACTAACTGCCACTGACATCCCTAGTGACACTAATACAGTGATCAGTGTTAATAAAAAGCACTGACACTGTACTAATGACACTGGGCGGGAAGGGGTTAACATCTAGGGCAATGAAAGGGTTTATCTTCCAAAATTTGAATTTAGAAAAGAATAGAATAAAACAGAACAGAAAAGAATAGAAATTAATTGAATAGAATAGAAAAAAAATACAATCGATTGGAATAGAAAAGAACAGAGTAAAACAGAATGGAACAAAAAAAATAGAACAGAAAATAAAGGGTTAGAAAAGAATAGAATATAAAAGAATAGAAAGGAATAGAATAGATAACAATAGAATAGAATAATGCCATCTTTCAAAATCCTAATTTTGAAAAGAATAGAAAAGAATAGAATAGGAAAATAAAAGAATAGAAAATAAAAGAATATAAAATAAATGAATTGGAAAGCATAGAACAGAAAAAATAGCCTAGAATAGAAAAATATTATTATTATTATACAGGATTTATATAGCACCAACAGTTTGCTCAGCGCTTTACAATATGGCATAGATTAGAATAGAATAGAGAGAATACAGCCATCTTCCGAAATTCGAATACAATCAGCTTTTCTTCACAATGGATTCGGATCAATTTGATATTTTCAATTCGAATTCTATTTGAATACTTAAAATCCATTAGAAAAATTTAAATCTGGTCGAAAATGAACAAAACAAAACTGACAGGAACAAATTTCATTACGAATGCAACAAACTAAGTAACTTAATGAATCGATCTGAAACTAAACACGTGCTGCACATGTCTACAACCAGATGGTCCAAGTGCAGAATGGGTTATCACTGGGTAACGCTTCAAACCCCTTAACTAGAACACAATGGGGTTGATTTACTAAAACTGGAGAGGGCAAAATCTGGGGCAGCTGTGCATGGGAGCCAATCAGCTTCTAACTTCAGCCTTTTCAATTAAGCTTTGACAATAAAACCTGGAAGCTGATTGGTTTCTCTGCACAGCTGCCCCAGATTTTGCACTCTCCAGTTTTAGTAAATCAACCCCAATCTCTTCATAAGGAAGTCTGACTGTAGCTAAATGAAAATCACTTAATTCTGTACAGTGTGTATATTAATTCAAAAGTATTTAAAATTAATATCCAAATGCTATTTTTGTCTGGATAAATCATTAGGGAAGCAGACAGCACCGAGCACCATGTGCTGCTAAGCTATAAAGCAAACATACGTCTGGATTAGTACCAGATACGCCGCGTGATTGTGTGAAATGGTTTGTATCGTACAAGAATCGCTTTATTTGTTTCATTAGTTTTTAGAATAAAGAACATGTTACAAAGAACTTTCCAAATACAACAACCAACAACGCCTTAGCGTTAAAGGGACCCTGTCGCCAGACCAAGCATTTCAACAACAGTCTTGCCATAAAATTAAGGGTCAGTTCACACTACATGCGTTACAGTTGCTTTTTGTCTGCATCCAAAATGCACAGAAAGTAGGTTATATGGTTGTCAATGTCATAGTTCACATCAGTGCTTGCAGTTTCTGTGCATTCGTTGTAGAAAAGAAAAGGAGAACATGCTGCATTTTTTCTGCTCCAGAACTGTACTGGAAAGCTTTTTAAAAAACGCACATGTCCCAGTGGAAGTCACGAGACACACGTGACGTAACGTGTAGGCATGCGGTATGTACTTCTGGTCGGACGCCATCTTTGTGCACCCATTCAGCTACACCCATTGTGAAGGGAAATATCTGTTTATGCTGTTCACAAGAGGGAGGATTATGTGAGTGCATATCTTCCTGTTACCTACATTTATTAATAAAAAGCAGTATTACATTGTTTGGACCTTCTGCTTGTATTCTATGAGAGTTACTGGCCATACTTACTACACTACGGGAAAGAGGTCTCCCATTACATATACCAGTCTGAAAGAGGGATGTCATCCAGGAGAAAGTGACGTGGTTATGGAGGAGCTTTACACGTGAAGGATCCAGTGATAGAGATCCTAATAGCGTTGTGACCCTATCAGGGGCGGACTGACCATTGCATTTTCTCCATTAGTGGATGCCCTCTTGTCACCATCTGCACAGATCACTCAAGTTCACAAGATTTCATATTTTATGTGTATTGCACCCATCTTGGACATTTTTTGTTATTAGGGTGTGCTATATACCGTATTTTTCGCTCCATAAGACACACTTTTTTCCCCCCAAAAAAGGGGGGAAAATGTTAGTGCGTCTTATGGAGCAAATATGGAGCGGCCGGTCCGGTATTTCCACCGCCGCCGTGTCAGAATACCGGGCCGGCCGCTCAGCTCTGCAGCGGGACCTTATGGAGATGACTGCTGACCTTTGGGGAGGTGGGGAGCGGGTACCTGAATTTGACAGGTACCCGCTCTTACTTCCGCAGAGTTGTTCTTTGACCTTACCTGTTCCTCTATCCAGCGGCGCACTGTCTTCCCGGCTTCGTAGTGTCGGCGTTTGGCTTGACAGCCGGGTGCCAAGTGCGCATGCGCAAGAAGCGGTGCTTTTTGTGAATGGTAAGGTGGTACCTGGGACACATGACAGATCCCAGAAGCCGCCGGACCAATCACAAAGCGCAAGTGCTTCTCGCTCATGTGCACTGGGCACCCGGCTGTCATGCCGAGCGCCGACACTACAGAAGCCGGGAAGACAGCGTGCGGCTGGATAGAGGAACAGGTAAGATCAAAGAACAACTCCGCGGAAGTAAGAGCGGGTACCTGTCAAATTCAGGTACCCGCTCCCCCCCCTCCCCAAAGGTCAGCAGTCATCTCCTGTACTGTCCGCAGTCTCTGGTCATCTCCTGTACTGTCTGCAGTCTCTGGTCATCCCTGTGCTGTCTGCAGTCTCTGGTCATCTCCTGTACTGTCCGCAGTCTCTGGTCATCCCTGTGCTGTCCCTCCGCAGTCTCTGGTCATCTCCTGTACTGTGTCCGCAGTCTCTGGTCATCCCTGTGCTGTCCACAGTCTCTGTTCATCTCCTGTACTATGTCTGCAGTCCATTAGTTCAGAATTTTTTTTTTCCTGTTTTGTGCCTCTAAAACCTAGGTGCGTCTTATGGAGCGAAAAATACGGTATATGTATGTTCTGCACAGCATGAGATATATTTTTTGCACTATATGCATGTAGATATATTGATTTGTGTTTTTCATCATTTTATTGAGTATTTGCACAAAATGTGATGTGTTTTTTCACATATTGATTTAGTGAGTTGATTCATTTGTATATATGTTACATGCACATGCGTTTTGCTACTTTATGTGGGGTATATTTTTTTGAGAAATTTGGATCACCTATAGTAGTCCTATCATTGGATCACTCACGGTCACGTGAAAATTGGACATTCAGTCCAGATTGGTGTGAGTTTTGTGTAGTTTGTTTTCTATGCACATACACTGTGTTTAGGCATCATTAGCAGCTTATGCATGTTCCTTTTTTCACTTATATAGTTGTTGGCATTTATCACATGCACTATAATATCACTTTATTTGTGTATTAATTTTATTTGTTTTATTGTGGATATTTACATGCAATTATAAGTGTATTTTTTACAGGTTTAGGGTTTATTCAAAGGTAGCAGCGCCACATCATTTCCTTTTTCCCTATTTAAATTGCAAAAAAAATAGAGGGGGGGGGGGGGGAATTAACTGGAATGCATAAAAAAAAGCACTGAAACGCATCAAAAACACATAAAAAATGCACCAGAACGCACCAAAACGCGCATGCAAAAGTGCATCCAGAACGCATCTGGACTGCATTTCTATAGTGTGAACAAGCCTTAACCCCTGGTTCACATATATGCGACCCTGAGGGCCGCATTTTGCACGGGCATGAGAGCCCATTCATTTGAATAGACTCATGTGCCCCGGAACACACAGAGAAGAAGTCCCTGCACTTCTTCTGAAAACGCAGCCTGCAGAGGAACCTCGGTTCCCAGTATGGTTGCGTTTTCCAGTGCAGGTAGCGTACCATTAGAACTAATAGCACCCACCCGCGGGTCCACATTCCTCTGTGCGGGTGGTGCGGTTGCACAGATTTTCGTGCGGATCCGCAGCTGCACCACCCACACATATGTGAACCTAGCCTAAAGGTGCATTTAACATGCACTTAGGTTACAGACATATAAAAGGTAAATAACCTAAAAATGACACAAAAACAGCAGCTAGCACAATACTGCAGAGTACAGTATATAGAGAGCATGTAGGAGAGAAAGCACTGCACCTTTTCTCCTATATACTGTATTTGATGCATGTTATTTACCTGGAAAGCCTCCGTAGTGTAGACATCCGAAATCCTGAGACTATTTCAGGATACTACCAGCTTGTTTATGATGTCAGAAGCCCCAGCAGAGCTCTAGTGACACTGTGTAATAATCCGCTTTGCTCCTACACTGGCAGCTAAATAAAAGGTTATGTAGGGAGGTGATAAGAGGTGCAGGGAGCTGGGCCAGCACAGACAGTAATTAGAAACTGCCAGAATAGAAGAGGGCTTAAATGTGCAAAAAAAAAGACAGCGATGAGCTGAGGAACTGACTGTCCTGAAGTATTCACATTTTCTAGCAGGTTCAGAGGCACATTGCAATTATGTTGTAGATTAACAAAAAAATGATGGAAAGGAAAAACACTGCAAGTATACAATTAATATTCTTAATTTCTCAGTGCTTTTACCGGCAATTATTTCAGTTGGTGACAGGGTCTCCCTAAGGTAATCCTGTCACAAACCGAAGCAATTCAAAGGTATGATGTGATAACACAAATCAAAAGCAGAGGTGACCTTCACCCAGAGATACAGACAGCTAAAGTAGATCCAAATGATGACTTTCCCTATAAAAATGGAACTCTGTATTCCCCTGAAACCCCTTGTGGTGCTTCATTGGTTCTTGACCCCTTGACACCGGTGCCTCCCGGCCCTTTAAGGGGTTTGTGATGCCAGGAGGCAGGACAGGGTTGACTATTGACATTGACTATATACCCACTTGCCCTCCAGAGGGTTTTAAACTTTTAATCTTGCACTACATCATACTTGCCAACTGTCCCCGGGTTTGCCAGGACCAGGGGCGGACTGACCATTTGGAAACTCGGGCACTGCCCG